GGGCGGTTGGACCCGGGCGGGGGGCGCGGAGGGGCCGGGCGGGGCTCGGCTCAGCGCCGCGAGTGCCCCGGCAGCAACCCCGGCTCTGCTTCGGAGGGAACCGCGGGGGAGCCCCCAGTCCCCGGGTACGGAGGGCCCATGGCAGCAGCCCTGAGTGGGGCTAGCCCGTGAGGCACTAGCACGGAGCAACTGGGCTTTGGCAGCCCCTTGCCTTGTGCCAGGGGCTCTTTTGTGTCCCTGAAGTCCCTGGCATGGGGGTCCCAAGAGTTTCCAGGCCCCCAACTCCTTGGCCAGATGGAAGGCAGAGCCTTTCTGGGGAGCATGGCAGCCCCTGCCCACAGGTGTGCAGCCGCGGCCGGTGGGCCCGTGCTGCCTTCCAGATGGTGGCCGTGGTGGCTGCCGGCGAGGGGATCACTGTGACTCACCCGCCGCCTACACACGGCTGCTCCTCATACCTAGGCAGGGTTCGTCAGCCGGCAGTCCCCGCTACGGGGGCGTGAGGGACACTGTCGCTCTGTTAGGCTCGCTGGGCATTCATGCTTGGCTCTTCTCCCCCAGCTCAGGACCAGAGAGTGTCCCGGGGACTCTCATGGGGGTGGGATGGGGGGGGGCCATTGCAGGCTGAGGAGTGTGACCTGTACCTGTACCTTGCACACGTGACACTCTGAGATCAGTAACCTGGCACTAGGAGGAGTGCGCTCTGCCCCATACAGTTCATCCTCCCTTTTTTCCATGTTTTTCTTTGGTTTCTGGCTGTGCCGTCACACTGTGACAAAAAACCTGCAAAATCAGGCTGACCCCCTCACATCCAAGGGGATGCAGCCTCCAGGAAACAGTTACCCCTCCTGCTGGGAGGGAGATGCTCCAGCCTGCTCCTCTGTGCATCCCCCTCAGGAGGAGACCCTGTCTTAGAGCAAGCAGTCTGGCAGGTGCGGGCTGACCTTTGTCTGTGGGACAGGCTGAGGGGATAGGGGATATTTGGTTACTGAGGCTGCAGCCTCTCAGAGCACTTTCTTGATGCCTTGAGCTGAGCTATGGTCAGAAAAATCTGCCTTTTGTGTTGAAGGCACCTTCTTCTGTGCTGCAGCCCCCAGGGTGTCTGAGTAGGGGGAGAGCGGCAGTATCCCCCTGCTCGCCTGGGCTGCGCCAGTTTTCCTACCAGCAAGATCTTCCAAATCTTCTCTGGCTGTCCTAAGGGAGGAGGGGGGTGGTGACAGTGGAGGTGCCTTGGGGGGGTCAGCAGCACTGTGTGTCCACTGGCTGTGGCCAGGAGATAACCCACAGTGGAGGAAACAGCCTCTGCTGCCAGCCTGGGGCAGAGCCCTGGGCCTTACCCAGAGCCGGGGGTTTCTCCAAGCCGCAGAGTTTCCTGGAGTATCAGTTTTCTCTAGGTGTAGTGTGAAAGATGTCGAAATAGCAAAATAATTTTGCTAGGTGTGCAGCCGGTGCGCTGCAGCACGAGAGGCGCTCACCAGGGAGGAGGAGACAGGCTTGGTTACGTCAGGAAGCGGCTGAGAAGGAATTAGGCAGGTCACAACTCGCCAGGTTAGACTTGGCCACCCTCTCCTCCCCGAGCAGCACAGGGCTTAGTTCATATTTTCCCAGGCTCACTGGAGTTACTAAGCGCTGTGGTTTCGGGGGAGCCGAAAAGTCCCTCTTGGAGCAGTGAGTGCTCTCTAGCCTCTCGACACCTGTGAGATCAAGCTGGGGGCTTATTCTTTGGGCATCTGCACATCTTAAAAACTATTCCAGTAACATTGCTGTTTTCGATCTATGTCCAGGCAAGGAGCTCAGTGCTCTAGTTCCACCAACCCAGCAGGGACCTCGCCTTGTACCAAAAGCCACCGGCCCCTACCCCGCAATTAAAACATACCTTTGTAATTCATGGGAACACTGCCCTTGCCATCTCTTTGGTTCTGCAAAACCAAAAATTAAGCCAGGCTTGCTCTCTTAATTATGTTCTGGGTGTGCAAGGCATCCTTGTACCCACAGGAAGGAGAGTCCATCAGAGCTGTGAATAGGGTCTTACAAAAGACTGTGCTCATGAGGGAAATAAAAGCCAGATAAAGGGGCAATTAGCAATTTTCTGTGTTCAGTGGAAACTGGTGCATATAATAGCAACATTTGAGATGCATAAAGCTCTGTTCCCCTCCCCCCCACCCCGATTCCTTTATTTCCTTGAGAATTGTTCTTATGAATTGGAAAGGCCATGATATTTGTGAGAAGCTGAGGGAAAAAAAAAATGGAAAAAAAACCCTCTGCTCGGGGGCAGATTGCTGCACAAAAGGCTGTGGGAGTGCCAGGGCTGAGCTGGCTGCAGCACCCCCGGGTTTGCTGCTCTGCCTTCTCTTCAGCTGACGCACAGAGGTGATCTGACCACTGTTTTCTCCTTCCCAAACTGTTTTCCAGTTGCTTTCCTGTCAAAGCCTCAAGGCCTGGTTACTCCCAAGAAAAAAGGCAATGGGAATAAAAGAAGAAAAGGCAAAGGCCTGGGGAAGAAGAGAGACCCATGCCTGCGGAAGTACAAGGATTTCTGTATTCACGGCGAATGCAAATACATCCGAGAGCTGGGAGCTCCCTCCTGCATGTGAGTTGTTCGTGTGTGCCTGTGTCGGGGGAGCCTTAGTCATGGTTCCTTCAATTCTCCGGGCTGGGCAGAGGAAGAGCAGAGGAGATATTTTTAGTGCATGTTCCCTGTCCGTGTGGGGACGGCTCTGACTTGGCCTCTTCCTTGTGCGTCTTAAGCAATGTCTGTGCCCCACCAAAATCTGTCATGGAGTTAGACCCAGCATCCCCTGCCGGTGCGGTGAGCTCCGACTGAGCTGCTGTGCAGAGATCTGCAGCGGTGGGGTCTGGAGGATGGTGAGCAGGGGCTGGGGTCTTGCAGCCAAGGTCTTCTGCAGGTCTGGTTTGTGAGACCCCATCCTGACTGTGTAACTGTGCATCCCCGTGTCCCTCATTACTGCCAGCCTTGGCTGAGAGCTCGGGGCTCCCACGGCTGTTGGGATGTACTGGTGCAGGCAGGAGGAGCATCTCTGCTGTGGCACCAGCAAGGTGGATTGGAGGTAGCACCTTTGGGGACAGTCTGCCAAAGCCATGCCCAAGCTGTCCCTTGGCCCTGATGAAGGACAGGGCTGTGTACCCACCTGTCTAGTCCCTGCTCTCTACCTGCATCCCAGGGGGGTGGGACAAGGGAAGTGGGGGAGAAATTGTTTGCCTGCTGCCGGGGCACCTGGATCCAGCACTGCTACTACGGGAAATACTGAGGGGTGCACATTTGACCCCACTGATGTGGGCAGGGGTTGAGCTGGCAGATATAAGAGGCTTTGTTCTTTGCTATCAGTCCTCTTAGCCACCCAGCCTGGAGCCCAGGGAAGATAATAGCTCCCTGGCTTATGGTGCCCACAAGAGCTCACGCCCTGCAATCCACAGGGATCAGGCTCTGCATAGCTCCTTGAACCGCTTAGTTTTTCTCTGCCTGGAAGCTGTCATGAAGTTGGGCCCTTGCACAGGGGGCTCGGGACTGCCAGCAAGAGGAAATCTCTGCTAGCTCAGCTTGGGCTGGTGACCCAGCGCAATGTGGGGCGCAGCACCTCCTGCCTGGGACTGGGACAGCCAGGCGTCCCCTGCCCAGCCTCCTGGCCTTCCCAGATCCCTGGGGCTGGAGGAGGACCTGGGACACAGACAAGCAGGAGGGGTCCAGGGTCTGGCTGGGGCTCACCAGCCTGGTGGCCCATCCCTGGGTGACATCTCCCCAGACCCATCATGGTTTTTAGGAACAGTGGCCAACTGCCCCAGTCCCCTCCAATAATGAGACCTCGTGTTGGCTGGTGTCACTCAGTTGTGCCTGCTCTTGGTGGCTGGCTGCCCATGTTGCAGGGTCCCCTGGATTGTTGCTTCTTTGGGCTGGTCCCTGGGGTACTGGGTGGGGTGAGGATGCTGCCAGGCTGGGTCCTGCACCTTGTGCCCAGCCTCGCTGCCATGGCTGGGAGGTGACACTGGCACACGGTCTTGTTGCGAGCCAGGCAGGAGTGCTGGGCTGAGACCCCATCTTGGAGATAAGCTTGAGGGTCAGTGGCACTGGATATATAGAGAGATATCTATCTATCTATCTGGTCGCATCAGTGCGCTTTTACTCATGGGGAGGGTTGGCAGCCTTGCAGCTCTGCTGGGGAGTGTTATTTCACGAGTTATTATTTCACGAGTTATTATTTCACGAGTTACCTCCGGAGTCTGCAGGGAGGTGGCACCTCTCTGGCTGGCAGGGTGTGCAGGGACATCCTGCTCCAAGGGAGGCGCTGAGCTCCAGTCCAGCTGCCTCTCTGCTCCCTTGCATGGGACTTTCCACTTCCAGAGGTGGTCTGGGCAGCCTGGCTCTGCCTGGGGATGATTGAGAAGAGGACAGACCCCCATGCCTTCTGCTGGGGGGAGCTCAACCCTTCTAGGAGTCTTCACGTGGTGCTTGGGGCAGGAGAAACTTTACCAGTACCAGGGAGGTGATGGTGACACCAGACCTCCCAGCTCAGGGGAGAGGGACCAAGGGGAATGGGCAGAGTGCTGGCTAAGGCAGAGCAAAGAGGCAGCTCCCTTTCCATCGGGGTGTGAGGGACCCAATGACCTTCTGTGGCTGGTCACCACCAACCTTTAAGACTTTTCTTCTTGCCCAGATGCCAGCCAGGATACCATGGAGAGAGATGTCACGGCCTCTCCCTGCCTGTAGAGCACCCCCCCAGTGCATACGACCACACCACAGCACTGGCCGTCGTTGCTGTTGTCCTGTCCTCCCTGTGTCTCGTTATCATTGCAGCCCTGCTGATGCTCAGGTGAGTGGGATGGGGCTGAGCCATTGGATCTGTGTCCTCAGGAAGACCACATGCAGGGGAGGGTGGCAGAGGCTTCTCCATTCTCTGAGCATCTGTTTGCTTGGCCTCACAGGTGTCACAAGAGGGGTGTCTACGATGTAGAAAACGAAGAGAAAATCAAGCTGGGCATCACTGTGAATCACTGAGGATGCCGGGTGCTGGCAAGGTGAGCCCCTGGCCAGGCATGGGGCAGCAGTGGGGCTGGTGGGCATCTGGGGTCTCTGCTTTTTCACGCTCGCTGGGACTGCTATGTGGATGCGGTGCCCGATTCATTCAGGAGCTGAAGGCAGTTTGAGCCCGGAGAAGCAGCTCGCTGGATTTGGCCCAAGAGCCTGGGCTGCCCCGTGGGGTTCCAGCCCTCTTTTTCCTCCCCTTCCCGCTCAGGTCCCTGTCTCCTGGCACTCCCAGCCACCACCACCTCTTCCTCCTTCCTAACCTTGAGTCTCTGCTTTACCCTGTTGCTGCATGCTTTGGGGACATTTGACAGTGGGGAAGCTGCTTCTGTGGTTTGTTTTTTTTTTTTTTTTTTTTTCCCCCCGCTTGTTCTGCTCCCTCTCTGACCCTCTGAGTCACTTCCCCTCCTTAGATATTGCCTCTATATATATATTAAAAAAAAAAAAACAACCTTCCTTTTCACTCCCACTCTGCTTATTACTTGCACCAACGTAATGCCTTGCAGCTGGGCACGGGGGGATCTTGCTGCCAGCCGCATGCGATGTTACTCTGGCTGGGCGGTGGGGTGTGCTCTGCCCCAGGGGTGGCCACATGGCCATGGCTGGGTGCTGGAAAGCTTGCAGACTTCCTCTGGTCTGGTCCAAACCCTGACGTTAGATGTGCCTATATGTATTACAGCTACTTCTCCTTTTAAAAAAAGAAAAATCTTTGTTCTTTGTGAGGATGAAGTAATGCCTTCAAAGAATTCCTGTAATGTTGGTAATAGTGTTGGAGGTGGGATTTTTAGCTGTTTGTAGGAGTTGAATTTTGCAGAAGGGGATACAGCACAAGGTTTTCATCACTGTCCCCTCTGCCCTGGGGGTTATTGGGGTGGATGTGTCCAGGGGGAAAAATGCTGTTGTCCCTGGAAGGGAAGCATGGTGGACACGGAGTGGGATACTTAGCCACTACTCCCCCAGCATCCTGGCTCTTATCCTCCCAGGTCCTGCCCCACAAGGCAGTGAATGGCTGCTGCTGGGGCTTTGGTGGCCCTGAGGGCTCTCCTGCTGGGCTAGGTGGGATGAGCACCTTTCTGGTCCAGGGCTGTGTTGTGAGCTCTCCTGCTGCTGTCTTGCAGGGGTCGGCACTAATGCACTTCTACCTCCTGGAAGAGGCGAGAGCTGCGGAGCCAGCACCATCCCTGGGAGCCCGCAGCACAGCAGGAGCTCGCTGGAGCAGCAGGACAACACCCGCTTTGGGGCTGGTCAGGCAGTGGTGTCACTGCAGGGAGCTTCGTGGCCATCTCCGGGTCGGAGAGCGCTTGGGAGAGGCACTCGCCGGCTGGGCGACTGCGCGGAGGCAGGAGGCACCGGCCAGCTGGCGGCCCAGGGACTCGCCAGCAGCTCTCCGTCCACTGTGGTGCATGCCGAGGAACAAACTGTGAAAGGCGAGGAGACCAGGCTTGGGGCTTTCTTAGGTGCAGGAGGGGTGGGAGGGTAACAGCTATTTAACAAGATATTTTTCATTTTAAATTATATATTTATTTTAGATAAACTGTACATAGTATTTATATTTATTGTAGGTCTGGCCCTGCATCCTTCATGTAGGTCAAGATGATAGGGTCAGACCTCCCTTATTTTTTAAGTGCAATGTAATATTCTAATAAATAACACTTTGTTACAAACACTTGGGTTGTTAATTTAATGATGGAGGTGGAAAGGAGTCAGGCCCCTGAAGACTGCACATAGCAACATGCCCTTGCTAGTGGGGTATTGCAGACACTGGCAGAGATCCTGAGTGTGCAGCAGGGGTTGCTGGATCACTTGTGCCATCCTTGGGGTGCAGCAGAGCAGTGTGGTGCAAAGGGCTGGTGGCAGGATCTGTCCTGCAGGAGCTGGCAGCCAGGCCAGCCCCATCTGTGTTTCTTTGGAGATTTGCATCTTTGCCAGCTGGTGCCCTGGGAGGGATGTGTTTGGGTGTCTGCTCATCAAGCAAAGCTGCCTCTAGTATGAGTGAAGCCACTCTGGCCACTGATTGATCCAAATGGGACTGATTCCTGATTTTAAGCCAGCATTTGGCTAAAAAATCAAGAGGTGGAGTCACACTTCCCTTGCAGGGGATCCTAGCGGTTCCTGGGGTGGCTGCTGGCTCCTGGGGCTGGGGTCATTCCAGCGAGCATCATTTCAGACAGTGGTTCAGGACTGATTCCTGACTTTGCAGTAATAATAACCCTCAAACCACTTCTTTCTCTTCCCTGATCTTCCCCAGGGGGACCCGAGATCAGGGTGAGATGCTGGGTCTAGCAGAGCGCTTTCTTCCAGCCCCTTTCCCTTCAGCAGATATCAAACTTCTGTTTTCAAAGGGGAGTGCTAAGCTACTGCTTTCTACTCCTGCTCCTACAATGTGAACTGAAGTCAGGTAGTGAGTAACCTGCAGAGCTTTTTGGCCTAACTTAGCCAAAATTTAGCTCTGGTAAAGTATGAAATAAGCTTTATGCTCACTGGGGGAGGGATTGCTTAGGAAGTGAGTGTGTAGGTTCATCCCTCTTGCTCAGTGCCGTTTTTTAAAATGGTATGGGAAGGGGGAATGCAGCAACACTTCGGCTTTCCAGTGCTTCCTGAGATAGAGGGGCTAAAGTACATAGTCATGGCAGATGGGAAGTGGGTGGGTGACAACGGGGGCACCCTCTTGTGTTATCACCTGGAGAGTAAAAGCCCCAGCAGCTGCAATGGCCTGAGTCCCAGAGCCAAGGAAACAAGTTACTGGCTCTGCTTTGTGCAAACCTGAACCTTAATGCTGTGGGAGTGTCAGTTTAATCAGAGACTCCAAACTTTGGCCTTTTTCTATGTCTATTAAGCAAATAATGCTTCCAGATGCTGTGCAGGAGGCCCTTCTGCTCCAAGTTGCCTGGCTGTGTCTTTGCCTTGCTGTGCTGCTGCTGTTCCCCTTCCCAGAGAGGCTCCCCACTCCAGCCCTGCTGCCTTTCATGGTGAGCAGCTCTGCATGCCCAGGGCTCCACACTGCCCTGGCAGGCACTGGGAATAGTTCTGCTGGAAGGCTTTTCTGCAGACAGCTGGAACTTCTGCCTGGAGCCCAGCTGCCCTCCTCCTTCCCTGTAAAGATGTGTTCTGGTTCACTTTGCTCCTCCACAGGCCAGCAGCGCAGGCTGGGCTGTCCACAGGTGGTAATTTAACAGGCCAAGAGAAGGGAAATATTTTGGAGATGTAGGGAGTGGGAAGCTGACTGGATCCATGGGCTGGCTCCCTCTGCCCCACTGGGCTGGGAGAGGCTGACAGTCCTACAGATGCTCTCTTCCCAGCTAAGGCAGGGATGAGTCCCCAGGGCAGCTCCCTGGTCCAGTTGCGCTTGTGGCCACGAAACAGGAGGTGCCCCAAAGCCTGGCTGGGGCACGCAGGGCTCTGCCCTGCCCAAGATGCCCATGCACTGCAGGGGGAGGCTGGGCTGCTTGCCTAACTCTGCCTGCAGGAACGGGGTGCCAGGAGAGCAGTCTCCACCACCCTGCCATCCCCCCCGGACAGGAGTGGGCTGCTGTGGCAGCCAGCCAAGCTGAGCACTGATGGGGGTCCTGGTGAAGGCAGGCAGTGGCCTCCAGCAGCCGCAGCTCAGCAGCCTGGCCTTTCACCCCTCTCCAGGCACAGACCCAGGAGCACAAACATGTCACCAGCCGCAGCATTTCCTGACTGCCACAGAGTCAAGCCCACTTGCTGCCTCTGACATTGACTCCATCCTGTGACCTCTGGCATCTCCCTTCAGATCCCTTTGACATCTGTGCCTGGCTTGCCTATGTGTGACAAAACGTGTGCCACTAAACGCCATCACTCAGTGTGTCCTCCAGCCCCCCGCCTGGGCTCACTTGATCCTGCTGTGGGCAGAGACTATGTGCCTAGAGAAGAGCCCTGCAGCTTCTTCTCAGTCTCTTCTCCAGAGTGGGGGGTCAAAGCTAGGAGATCTCCAAAATCCCAGTTGGGATTTTGTGGATTTAATAAAAATTTGCAATATATTGCATTAGTCAATTTAATAACCAATTCTCCCCTGCCTGCCCCAGCACCTTGGCAGCCATGCTTCAGTGCCTTTGGCCTTCACAGCGCAACAGGGTTTGGATGGAGGGGGCAGCAGTCCATTGGAGCAGGGACAAGGCAGCCAAGGAGACACCCCAAAAGTGGCTGAACCACCCCTGCTGCCTCCTGTTGAAAGCAGGTGGCGGCAGCCCTGCACACAGCTCCATTCGGCTGATTTTCCTCCTGACCGGTGTTCTTGGCTTTGCCCAACTCCTCACCTAGCCACTAAGCCCCAAGCCTGCGACAGGCTTTGCCACAGTGAGGCATCTCCCATGGGTTTATTGGCACCAGAGGGGGTGACACAAATCACCCCCGGGTGCCTGTGGAGGTGGGGGAACAGTGGAAGGTCTCACAGTGGCGTGCAGCTGCCCTCGCAGGCAGGGGTTGCAGGCAGTGGGGACTGTCCCCCCAGCTACAGCTCTGCACTGCATGAGTAGCGATGCCTGGGGGCCTGCACGTGGGGAGCTGTGGTGGCAGCTGGAAAGAGCTGAAATGCACCGAAAAGGGTGGCCATGCTCTGGGAGCAGGTGGCAACAAGAGCTGAAAGTCCCTGAAGGTCGGATCCTGCACTCTGCTTTTTAACAGGGGTGTTGCAGCAGGTTCCCCCCGCCTGCCTCTGTCTGCAGAGCAGCACGCTGGTCACTTCAGTTTTTGCTGCCTTCGCCCAAAACACATCTGATGGCCTCATCATGATCTCACCCCTTAGCCGAGCTGGGCAAGCTCCAAGGAAAGCTCTGGGGCTGGAGGCAGTGAAGGTGATTCATTCGTGGCAGAGGCAGCCAAAAGCTGTTGCTGCAGGAAACGCAGCACTGCCACCCCCTCCACGGGGAGCCCACCGGCCCCCCAGGCCTCTCACTGCCCAGCTTGGTACCTCTGCCTGCGATTTCAACCTCCCCTTGGTGTTTCACTGGGTCTGAGATGTCCAGCATCCCCAGCCCCAGCATCTCGGCGGGTCTGGAGGATGAGGCTGCATTTGTCCGCCGGGTGTTACTAACAAAGCACCATTCTGGTTCTGCTTTTAGCACCTGTTACTGCTTTTTGGTCTGTCCGTGGTGCTCCCCCTTCGGCGACTGTGGGACCCTCTCCTGGGGCCGGCCGGGGCCCCCGTGTCAGTGCTGGTGGCTGGCAGGGAGGCGGCAGGGGTGGCTGCCGGGTTCCCAG